AGATTAAACAGATTCATCTTTCTTTCTTAGAAGCGAGGGAAGGTGTGGATAAAGTGAATAGAAGAAGGCTTCCTTCTTATCGTTGCCACTTTACTTCTCCCACTCTTCTAATCTAAATTGTGAGGATTGGCTTGTACAGGGGGCTAAGAGCCTGCCTGAGATGTCAGAAGGCCATAGTCATGGTTAGCCACCCCAGGTATATGCAGGCTGCCAGCTACACAGTGACAGGAGATTAAGAGAGATTGGGATTTAACTCTGACAGGCCTGACACAATTTATTTGGAAATTTCTGGGAGAGAACATAAGTAATAAAGACAAGAACAGTGACAGTAAGGAACAAATGTGAATTTCTGTCAGATATAAAACAGAATTTTAAAAGAAGTAGCTCTGTTTGTTGTCTCCAGTCAGGCTTTCCAGTTAAACTATGTTTCTCAATTGAAATTCTTATCACTACTTTCTGCAATTGGCTAAGAAACTACAATTAGAAGAATTTCTCTCTTCAAAAGATTATGTTTTAAAATCAGTATACTTGTTTCTCTGTCACAAATTAAATAGCAGTTACCTTCAAACCTAGGAAACTGATAGATAAAATACTTTTTCTTAAGATTTTTCTTTCTCATTTAATCACATTTTAATTCTTGATCAGACTTTCCTTTGACTAGGAGATCTGTGATATTTTTCTCATTCTATTAAATATTGGCAGATGAAGAGGGAGTCTGGCATGGGAGTGCAGCAGCTCTTGCATGGGTGTATACAGACTAGATCATGTTCTTAAGAAACAGCATACTGGGGAAAAAATTGTGCTTCGTTGGCCCTTTATGGAAGGACCTTAATTAGAAGTCACTCCTAACTCCTGGGGTGGGAGCAGTTGCTAGCTTGCCACTACGGCGCCTCCTGCTGCTAATGAGCGTGCTCCTTGCAAAGACTCGTTTTTTCTGACAGTTAAAGCTGCATGCAAGAGTTATTTCTGTTCACCTTTCTCTCTATATTTAACCCTTACTGCCCAAGTTCAGATCATGCCAAGTAGATTGTTAGGTGTTAAAGTGCTTCAGGATAACAGAAAGGAAGTTTGTGAGCAAAAAGTAAAGAATCAAAGTTTAATTTACTTAAATATGGACAGTAAATGAGAGTTCCTTTAGTTTCCCATGTTTGGGTCTTTTCTTTCTGGTAGTCTTTTTAATTGACCTAAAATTTATAATTGAATAGTTGAATTATTTAGTTCATTATTATGTAATTAGATTCCCTGTCCTGGACATCTGTTTCTCTTATTTAAGCAACTCACCCCATGGCACAAAGTTTCATTAAATAATTGTCACAGGAGATGTAAATTTCTTATGCAGACACGATGATGATCCTGTAGACTGCTATTTATTTCATTAGCTTCTAATTAAAACACTAAGTTGACTTGTGAGAAAATGCCAAAGAATGGTTTGCTTCACCAAGAAGTTATATATAACACAGTCACCTCCCTGATGGCAGCGTGTGGAGAGTGCTAAACAGTTTAGAGAGCTTATTTCCCTTCCTTCTTTGTGGTAGGGAACATTAAAGGACACAGGATTCCTCTCCATTTAATAGACCATGGACTGAGTGAAGGTTAAGTGGGCATATTCCAGATCATAAAAGTTTTGGATCTCTCAATATCTGGGGACATATCCTTGATTCTAAAAAATAACACATTTTGGTAAACAATTTGTCTGTCTTGGTTTAGAATCAGTGAGGACTGCTTCCCATGGCTCATACTTTCTATTTCTTTGATCTTAGACTTGTACAGATGCCGAGATATTGACTCTCAGAGGACCGACTAGAGCTGAATGGTATTCTTTTAGGATGGCCAGTGCAGTGCAGCCAGAAGCTGTTGGCAGCATCAGAAACCTCCCTTAGGACCCATTATTTCAGGAATGTCCCATGCCTCCTGCCTACCAGAACAAATAATTCAGTAGTCTTTATATATAATGCAGAATAGATAAAGGAAAATTTCAGCATGAAATCAAGCAGATTTATTCCTTAGTTTTGTTATTGAATGCTTATTGGTCAAACAAGGTAGGGAATTAGAAAAGAGATCAGGCCTGAACAGGCCCCCTAATTTTGGGGAGGCCCATTAGGTGGGTTGTTTGGTGATGACCATTGATGATTATGATTCCATAAATATGAATTCTATCTCCCAATCTTAGGAATCATACATTTAAAAATATTATCTTCACATATCATTCCTTGCTTATTTAAAAATAGTTAGCTGTGAGAAACATAGCTGAAAGAAAAATTATCTTCTTGTAGCAAAGGTTTACTTTAGAAATGGAGGTCAATGCTATGCAGGTAGACAGCACATTGACAGTTCGAGACAGATTTATGTGGAAAACAGCTTTGTGAGCTCTGCATTTCCAGACACGTGCTCAATTCTATCAGATAGTGGTGTGAATGAAAGGCTTATTTATGTCTGAGTGCTGCCCTTTTACACTAGAGGTAAGTTGGCATCACGGCAAGGCCCTCTAGATTTTAACAATGTTAATAAATGCAAAGGGTTCAACTACCTCCCCTGTGCAGACCTCCATTTCTCTTCTCCACACTACCCTCTGGAGTTGTGGGATAATTTATTATAAAGATGCTCCAGGTTTAAGACCTTGTCTCAGAACAAACACCATTTTTTTGTTACATCTTTTACTCTAGAAATTTCTCATTACTAAAAAATAAATTTTAAAAAAGTCTAAATAGGGTTATTAATACAAATAGTGTCGTTGCTAGTTTGTGAAAAAGGAACCCCAGAGAGCAGTGTGGCTCATACAAGGTGAATTCCTTTTGGCTGACTACTTTGTAATGATTTACATTTAGATTGTTGCTTGTTGCTCTTGTGGAGGAAGGGGAGAGGGCTGGCTGTGTCTGTGGTTGCCTTAGCCATCACACTGACTGGGTTTGGACAGCTTCTCTCAGCAGAGCTAGACAATAGGCCGAACTTGCTCTTCAATTGTTTTCATCAAAGGCCTTATTTAGTTGGTTTGTATTGGGAGAAAATGTCATGTAGGATGGGAAGAACTAAATTAGATGAAAAATGAAGTTTACAATTGCTAAGGATAGTGCATGGCTCCCCTAAGTCACTGCATAGTGTGGTGGTCTGGGATGGAGTTGGGGAGGAGGGGTATGAGCAGCAAACTGTTACTGTTGTCACTGTCGGGACCAGTGAGTGTTCTCTGATAAAGTGCAGCATCTTCTTCATACAGAGGAGGCCGGTGGGGAAAAAGGATACAGACAACCTTCATTGAAATGTAGCCAACAGTCTTCTGCATCTCACTAGAGTCACTTTAAATAGAAAATTAGGACTGCCTAGTAGAAGACTCAGTCATTCAAGAAATATATATTGAGTTGTGGGCCTGGAGGGCATATTAGTGAACAAAGCAGGTGAAAATTCCTACCCTCCAGGAGTTTACATTCTCCTGGGGGATAATTTTAAAAGATAAATACTATGGAGGAATAAAAAGCAAGAAAGGGAGGAAGGGAAATTCTAGGAAAGGGAGACAAGAGTGATCTAGATAGAGTGATCACTTTATAAGTGGCACAAATGTCGTCACTATGTTGTACGCCTGAAACTAATATATTGTATGTCAACTGTAATTGAAAAATAAATGTAAAAAAAGAAAATGTGACTTGAAAGAGGTTAGGTCCCTTATAGATCTAAGAAAAGAGTGCTCTAGACAAAGAGAATAGAAGATACCAAGTCCCTAAGGTAGGAGACAGTAAAGAGGCCAGAGTGGATGGAGCAACAGGAGAGAGCAGCAGGAGATGAGGTGAGAGAGATGAGAGGAGGGCAAATCATCGCTCTGAGAAGGGTAGCTATTAGAGGGTTTCGATCAGAGAAGCGAAATAATTCTAACTTGATTTTTAACAGGATCACTTGGCTACTATGTGGAGAATATACTGTAGGGTAATGGAGGTGAGCAGGGAGACCAGTTAAGAGGCCGTTATACTAGGCTAGATGAGATAGTGATGGTTTGGACCAGCATGGGGGGCAGGTGAGAAGTAGTGAGATCTAGATCTGTTTTGAAGATTTATTTAGGAAACTCTCTTCCAGAGGTTTTTTAACACAAACCACTTTGGAACCTTGGCAAGCAGTGCATCCACAGTATACAGTGGTGGCAATTCCAGGAGTACAGAGCCAACCAAGTGCTGCCTTCTTTTGTAAGGCAAGAGTTATTTACAGCCTGCCTATGACATAAACTTTATCGTATTTTAGTTTTTTAAGGTTATAAATACACAAATTGTCACACTACGCCTCCCTTCACTTGCCAATTTGGCAGCAACTCTAGGGTTGTGGTACCAAGTGCTGCCTCTTTACTACTCCACCATGGAGGCCATAGGAGAGCTCACTGGTAAAAAAGCAGGATACTCCGTAACCCTGAATGAAGTTAGAATAATTTCCAATATTAGAACCTGATTTCCATGCGTTTAGGAGTAGAAACGTGAGTATTTTTACTAGAAAAGATTATGGATCCTCCGTCAAACACTGCCTTTAGATATGGAATTGTGCTAACCATGGCAGTGTAAAGAAGTGCTAGACATTGTCCCTTCTCTAAAGAATTACATTATCTTGAGGACAAGCAGACATCCAAGGAGAGGTAGATAACCAATACAAGCAGTAATTAGCTAGGGCCCAAAGAAGGGGTACAGACAAAGAGAAGATCTCATTTCCAGATTGAATGGTCTCCTGATAGAGATAGACATCTATTTTAAAAAATAACATGGAACTGATTTTTGTTGAGGCCCCCTTCCCCACCCCATCCTCCTCTCCTGGGTCAGGCCCTGCTTGTTAGAAGTCAGCCCTAAAGGTTCATGCTTGTCACAATTTGTGCAGTATAAACCAGGCCAGTCAGAACTGGCTCTTGCTCATACAGGTCCAGTTCCTGGAAAAGGGCAATAGTAGCCTGGTCAGAAGAATGCCTGGCAGTACATTAATCAGCTGTACTCGCCAGGCTAGTCACTAACCCTGAGCCCCAAATGTGTTGTTTTGGTCAGATTCACAGTCTGAGAATGAGGCTTCGCCAGTGAAACGGCCACGACTACTGGAGAATAATGAACGATCCGAGGAAACCAGCCGATCTAAACAGAAGAGTCGACGTCGGTGCTTCCAGTGCCAAACCAAACTGGAGCTGGTGCAGCAGTAATTGGGATCGTGCCGCTGCGGTAAGCATCTTCTCCAGTGGCATGATGGAGACTGTGTCTTTGACACCCTGGCGCGTGACTTTGGAAATTATTTGTAAGAGGCTGAAGTCCTGTTTTGTTCTCCTAAGTACCTCCCTGAGAACTATAGGTTTGGAGTTTGAAAAATCAGGAATAGAGGATTCTTCTAAGCACGTACAAAAAAGGCAAAACTGTCCCCCACTACTTTGACACATATTTCTTTAGTTGCCTTGTTCCTACTTACTGCTTTCAACTTCTCCCCACTGCATATTACTCTGGTTCCTTCTCATTGATGACTTATTTAGAAATTAACCAAACCAGCAAAATTCTGGGGATATGTACCATAAAATTCAGATATTAAATTAATTTTGAATGAGCTTTTTACTGTGTATAATAAATGGAAGATTTCTCCCCCATATCTTTTAAATTGAAGTTTGATTAGAAAATTATTTTCTTTGAACCGTACTTCATTGTCAGTTAACCCCCTTGAAAATAGCTTTAAAGTAACCTTTTTTCTATATTATCCAGTGTAATACCAACTCTGCACAGGGGTGTATTTTTAAAAATTTTATGCATACCCACAGTGGAACAAAACTTAGACCAATCTTATCTCTCTCTTCGACCACATTGGAGCAAAATCGTATAGCTGAACCATTCAGGCTGATTGATAATTTTCCTGTCCCTGTTTTTATTTCCTGATTTTAAAGCGTAGAATTATAAAATCGTTCTATGGGACAGCTGTCACCAGGCAAACTTGGAGACCTAAGTCTAGTCTCTGAGAATCCTGCATATATCTTTTGTCTTTAGGAGTGAGCTTAAGAACCCTCCTTTTACCTCTGGGATATCCATAGATATCCTACAGTGATGCTGGCAGTCAGAACTAGATGGTTCTCCCAGCAGTTAGAAGGTTGACTGTTACTCCAGGTCCTTCATCTTCTGAAGAGATGTCTATTGCTGCTCTTGTCCCTCAATCATCTGCCCTTTTGTAAATAAGAAGGCAATGAGGGAGTACCAGCTTCTCATGGAAACGAAGTTGAAACTTCTGTTTCTATCATGTTTGTTGCACACACACGTGTGTGGTACATCACAGAAACATATATTCATCTGCAGAAAATAGAGACCAGCATGAGGAGTCTAGGTGTCACCAGACAAGTTTTTATATTTTAGCTTGGCATTTAGTTTTCTCCTGAAGAAGAGAGGTGTAGGGTAAGAGGTAGGGGCAGAGACTGCCAACAGAGTTTTCAAACTTCAGTTGTGTTCATGTGTGTGGTATAGCCCAGGTGAGCCCAGAATCTTATTCTTAGGCTGTGTCTTGATCATCCCTGCCAGGTCATTTTACATTCTTGATGAGGTAAGGAGGGAATACTTTGGTTAGCCAAGGAAACTCTGGAGCCTGATGGCTAAACACCTTCGCCCATATCAGAGTTTATCTACTCTTTTGTTGTGCAAATTATTGCTTGGGTCTTCACTGGAACTACTGTGGTATTTCAACAGGTCACTCTGTCACGAGTGTGGCAAAACCTACCTGACCATTTTAGATAATAACATAGGCCTTTGTTTGTTTCTAAACTGGAATTGGGATTTTCCTGTGCCTTATGTTCTTGTTTCCTTCTTGAAAGTAACTGAATCCTGGGTGTTACATAGGATTTGCCTTAATGGATCAGGCAGTTGGTCCATGGAGTATGCAGTCTTGCCTCTGGCAGTGGCTAATACCTCCTCTCCTTGTCAGGCAAGCACTAAGAGTTCACAGTTTAGCTTTGAGAGATCCTGAGGTGTTGTAACCAAGTCTCCCAGTTTACCCTTCAGCTTTGATGCAAACCACTTAATTTCCTAAGGTCTTAATAACACTGCTGAAAAAAATCTAGAAATACATGTTAGATGATTTCACATGCTCCTAAGTGAAGCCAACCTAATTGTCCCTGGTAAGTGAGGAAGGATTACTATGTTGTGCTCTTCGCCTCCTGGGCAGGAGGCTGGCTTTCTAAGTGCCTGTTGGGTTTGCCACAGACTCGCATTCTTTTTAAGTGATCTAACGTGTAGTCCCTTGGTTTGTTCCTAATTCTGAGGGTCTACTTACAGAAATATTTGATTTTTCTTATGGAGAAGAAAGTTTTGAGCTTTCTGCAATCCCTCCAGAGGTAGCCTTCCCAAAGAGAGCTGGGAGTTCAATTTGGCCCACAGAGAGCATTATACTTATGTGCCCAGAAAAATGACTGAGTCAGCTACTACATTTCAAAAGATAAAGGACAGCAATGGGAACATACACCTCTGGGACTGTCTTTGACAAATAGCTCATGTGTTCTTCCTGCCTGTCTGCTTGTATCTCTCCAGGAAAGGGTGAGTTGTATAGTTATTTCCTTGAGGATGCATGGAGTGTTAGAGAGACATTTAATTGCCCTGAAAGGTTTTAGATGGGGGGAAGCACAGTAATTTACTACTGAAAGTGAAGACTCAGGAAGGTAGTTTGAACTCAAACAGAACACTTCTCACTACAGAAAATCTTTATATATATGTATCTTTTTCTTTTTTTCCCACAATCTTTTTTTCCATTCCCCTTCCACTCTGTACAGGTTATTAACTGCTGACAAGAAATTCACATCTCATAAATAATGCTTAAGAGCCATTGCTATATAAATTGAATGTGTTATGAATTGTGATGGGCCTTTTTGTAGCATTCGATGCCTAGAGCAGGAAGAACAGAGGATGTCATTTTCATTAATTTCTAATGAGGTGCCAATTAAAGACAGGGAAGACTCTCCAAAGGGAAGAGTGGCCAAGCTCCCCTGAATCCTCTGCCCTGGGGCTGTCATCCAAACACTGCCAGCAAGCCTTCTCTAAAAATTCTATTAAATTACAGTCTCATAGAGAGCACACACAGACACATTCAGCTTCCCTTTGATCTTCAAAAGAGCAATTTGTAAGACGAGTTCTGAGCCTTCTCACATAGGGAACAGCTAGAGGTGATAGGAATTGTTAATTGCCAAGACATTCGATGGGCTTTTCAAGAAGTAGGTGAATGTTGAAGATGAATTCTCTGCTTTGCTGTGACTAAATAACCTTTAAATCAACAATACCAAAGTAACACCCTTTTCCTGTGAAATCTTTCAGGGTGCCAATTAGAAAGGCATGTGGTGAGGCAGGGATGATACCCTCCATCCTTAGAGTATCTGCAACAGTTTAACTTCTCAAGATAGAAAAGAATTGCCTAAAAATATACTTATTTGTTTCATTTTGTACCCAGTAGGCAAATTGGTCAGCTCATTCTCATTATAGGAGTCCTTTCTCTCCAGATGCCATCTAAAGGATGTTCTTCTGAAATCTGGCCATCCTCATCAAATCTGGGCCACATCACAGCCTCATGAATGCTGTGTTTTCCAAGCAGATCTTGCATGATACACACAGCATGGCTTTTTAATCTCTGTGCATTGCTTTCCAGAACCACAGAATTAATTTTTAAATACCAGTCTAATAGCTTGCATAAGTTATCACATATTTTCAGTTGACAGTGACTTAACAAACTGTAAACTGATATGTTCCCTTTTGGGACAACAGTGCTTTTACTAACCTTCTGAGTAATCTGACTTCCTTTATTGCTTTCAAAATAAATTTTATATTCACTTTAGAAATTCAGAGTGATGCTTTAGCTGGGACCTTTAGAATAGTTTATCATCTCCAAGTGCCTTAGTGGTCATTTCTGCCTTATCATTCACTGTCAGACTAAATTCAGCAAGAATTTCTTGAGATATGACTATGCACAAAGCATTTTACTAAGTTTTATGGGAATATAGGAGCTAGAAATATAGAATGTAGGAGCTCTCAGTGGCTTCAAACTTGGGTGGGCATCCGAATCACATGGAGGGTGTGTTAAAAAACAGATTGCTGGTTCTGTATGTTTGTGTATGTTTAACAAGTTCCCAGGTGATGTTGATGCTGCTGGTCTGAGGACCGTGCTTTAAGATCTGTCATAGGCAGTTCTCAATGGGAAGCTTTTTTAAAAACAGAATATCTGGGCCTTACTCTAAACAGTTAAATCAGAAAAGGTCTTCGGGTATTTTTAATTTTTAGTTTGGGAATTAAAAGGTTTTTCAAGGACCATTGAGAATAAGTTGTGAACATCGTGTCCCTTTATCCCTATAAAATTCAATGAATGTTTCCATAAGAACAGAGATATTATTTTATATAATCACAGCAGTTATCAACTTTAGAAAATTGATACAGATACAATGCTTTTATCAAATCTGTCATCCATATTCCATTTTTGTCAGTTGGTCCAAAAATGTACTTTATAAAAGCAGTTTTTCAGCAATACAGAATTCATTCCATGATCAGGTATTACATTTAGTTTTCATGTCCCTTTAGATTCATTTAACCTGGAACATTTTCACAGCCTTTCTTTGTTTTTAATGATAATGACATTTTTTAAGACAACATCCCTCCACCTCCTACTGACCCACCCACACTTTTTTTTTTAATAGAACATTCCATGTTCTGGGTTTTCTTAGTTTCTTCATGATGATATTCAGACTACATATTCTCAGCCAGAATAAGACATAAGTGATGATGTGTCCTTCTCAGGGAGGCACAGATGTCCATCAGCCTCTCATTTTTTATGTTAATTGAGATTCATGCACCCATTCAAGGTGTTGTTCGATTTCTCCACTGTATAGTTACTATTTTTAATCTTACAGGCAGTAAGCAAACACTTTACGATCATGTTTTGCCTAAACTGGTCTTTACTATCAGAGTTGCAAAATGATGATTTTCTAACTCGAGCCTTTCTACATTTACCACTTGGCATTCAGTGCTCTTTTTTAAGTGAGAACCCCCCTCTCCCATTTATTTATCTATTATTGATGTGGACTCATGAGCTCTTACACTTTTTAGTGGTTTATAATTTATTACTATACTTACTTTGGTGCTCGAATTTCCCCAAATTTGGCCAATGGAAGTTCTTTCAAGCTGATTTATGTATCCTTGTGGCATATCCCCCCACCTTCCCATCA